GTGGAAGTTTGAGATGACAGTGCCCATCATGCCTCAGGCCAATTCAAGGTATTAAAAGGTAAATTTGCAAGATGCTGAATTAAAAAAACACTTCTGTATTTTCAACAGCTGGCTCTGAGCCAGAAAACTCAGTCTTAGAATTAACAGGCTGCGAAACATTCAGAATGAATACTAGCAGTAAGCCGGCACAGAAACTAAATACAGTCAGTGAAAAAGAAAAACTCAGTTTTACTATCTGGATTAGAACGTGGAATTGAAACCTGGACTTTAGATTGACTTGTTGATAAGCAGTTGAAACAGCACGGTTATTGGTCAGCTCAGAAATTGAAAACTTGATTGATAATATTTTGAAATTAACTGGACTAAAATTTTGTTTTCAACTGCTTTTATAGATGAGATATTAATCACATTCTGAGTGTAGATTTTGTTCACAGTGATGAGTTCCTTAAACTCCTTTAAGACAAACCTCAAGTCCATGTTATGCATATTTGTGGTTGCAGCCTTCTGTCATATAGTAGTGTCAAAACTGTTATTGGCTTTTAGAAGTTTAAAAAAATATTTTGAAAGTTCCTAAATTCCCAAGCTCCATGCATGAAATTAAAATTTCATTTGGCTTTTAACACACTTAATTAATTAAATAACATAAATTGGTTTGATGATTCATCAGCTAATTGAACAAATACAAGTGACCAATAGGTGTGTTTTCTTGTGATGTTGAAACATTTTCCAAGAATAAAAGGGCAGTCTTGATATGCAAATTCTTTTTGAAAAGCAAAACTCAGAGCTCAAGCATATATTTTCCAAACCTTTTGGATCCTCATTGCTCTGAGGGACTCTCTAAAGATACTAACAATGGATCAGATCTTTACCTTCATTCTGCTCCTGCTCAGTTTATCTGGCACTTTTTCCAAGTACGTTTACATTGACCAGAAAATGGATTGGCTTGAAGCTCAGAAGTACTGTCAGCAGCATTACACAGACCTGGCTCCTGTCAGTAATGAGAGGGATAATAATGAACTTCAGCAGCTCGCCAGCAATGTCAATGAAAATATCTGGATCGGACTGGTAAGAAATTCTTCAGACAGAACAGAATGGCTGTGGTCAGGAGGTGGAGCACCAACTATGTGTTTCTGGGCAATAAATGAACCTAATGGCTATGATCGTAGAGAAGACTATGGCATTATGCGTAAAGGCAAGTGGCATGATGTAGGCCAATGGTATAAAATAACCTTCTTCTGCTACAGTGCATCAGTGGTGACTGAGAAAAAGACTTGGGAGGAAGCTCTGGAGTACTGCAGAGAGCACAACGATGACCTGGCCAGTGTGGGGTCTGAGACTGAGATGCTGCTGATCCAGAAAGAGCTGAGCAAACAAAACACCACTGAACACGTCTGGATTGGATTGCGTTTCCTGGCTGGTGACTGGCTGTGGGTGGACGGGCAGGAGATGGACTATGAGGCCTGGGGTGAAGAGGGAAAGTCATCATGTCCACATGCCAAGATGAGGTGTGGTGCCTTACAGGTGACAGTTGGAAGCAAGGGTGCTTGGAAGGCACATGACTGCAAGGACAGACTAAATTTTATTTGCTACTTTACATTGTAAAATTAATTACCTTCTATCTACTGTGTATGTGTGAATGTGAGAGTGAATGAATAGTGGCATTGTAAAGCGCTTTGGGTGCCTTGAAAAGTGCTATATAAATCCAATCCATTATTATTATTATTATTGTTACTGTGGTTAGAGTAGGTTGATTATTTATCTAAATTATTTGTGCTTTCTTTCTTGATGTGTCATTGTAGATGTGTAGTTTCATTTCTGTTTTGTCAGAATGCTAAAAAGTCATTTTTTTCTTTCTTTTAGAACTACTATTTATTCTACTAAGTAAACAATATAGAGAGAAATAATATCGATGTTAATTCAAAGTAAATAAAAATATTTTGAGATCATTTCCAGATGTTTTTCCATAAGATTTGAGAATGCCTTACTGTTTGCAGGCAAGCTGTAGAGTGAAGCTACATGTGTTTACGAGTTAGAGGGAAGCTTGGGATGAGGGATGTAATGGGGTTAAATTATGCTCAATGGTCTTACAGATATGTATGTTATGATCCACAAAATAAACAGTCATTCCACCACTAAATGGCTGAAAAATTAATAAATAAATAAAATAAAGGTTTGTGAGTAGCTTACTCAAAGTTTGTACTTATATCATATTAAGATGCTTTCTCGTGATCTTAAAAAGGCAGTTTATGCTGGAAAACTGTCCAATGGGGCTGAATTAAAACAGTTTCTACAATGAAGAGTGAACCAAAACTCCTCCACAGTAATTCAGTTATCAAAAACATCTTGGAGGAATTAAACTCCAAACATGCTACTTTAAAAAGCATCAACTTTAAAATACTGTGTATAGTGGTTGTATACCACTCTCACTTAAAAACAGAGAAACATAGCAGGTCTGTGTTACTGTGGACTTCCATCACTGTGACTGCCCTGTGTTACTTTTCTAAGAGATCACTTTGCCATCTGCCTTAGCCGTTACTGCCACTTAGTGGCGAAAGTCAGTTTTGCCTTAGTGCCACATCAGGTGGGAGCCAATGAGGTCTTTTTCTCTGTACCATGATGTTAAACTATTGTCACAACAAAAACAAAAAAGTTGACGTTGGGGGGGGGGGGGGGGGGGGCAACACCAGCGCAATAAAAGAAACTTTGACAGGAATCGTAAAACTTGTTTTGAATGCTTAAAATACTCAGGGTATAAACATATACACTTAATAATGACAGTATAAGCAAAGCAAGAATGCAAAAAAGAATAAAGGCCATATAGTTGCATGGTGTGGTTGTGGTGGATGATCTGATATCCTCGTGTTGGTGTTGTTCCCAGACCATCATGAAAATGTTGTTCCAGGTTCAACATTGCAAGTGACCAATCACATTGTTGTGACGTTATTCCTTTGCGCGCCAAGCCATTCGTGCATTTATGAAATTCCAATGTTGCAAGGACAATATCAATTCTGCTTACTGTTTATTAAAGGGTTACGGTTAGGGTTAGGGTCAGGGTCCGTTGATCGGCGGACAGAGGCGGTTTCACGCAGCTTTAGTACAGTTTTTTGTTTTACGCCGGTTTTTCCCGACGTCACAACATTCTGATTGGTCACTTGCAATGTTGAACCTGGAACAACATTTAGTATGATGATCTGGGAACAACACCAACACGAGGATATCAGATCAACTGGTTGTGGTTTAGCTGCAGGGGGAGAGGTGGAGTGGAAGTTTGAGGGGACAATGCCAGGAGAGACTGGCTGGTGCGCATTACCTATAATTCTGCCTCTTCCATTTATTTAGTAGTTTGTAATAACTAATATAGTAATACTGGGGAAACAACTGCAACATTACAGCATATAGTGAAAAAATAATCCAATTCTGTGCATTTCTGGGACACTCCTGTGTCACAATGCTACAGGCCAGTTCAAGGTATTAAAAGGCAAATTTTCAACATGATTTGAATTAATAAATAATGTTCAAAGGAAAACAAACAGCCAGTTGGGGGAAAACGATACAGATTCTATCTCTCTCACATAACATAATGAATTTTCCTCTTTCAGTCGATTCCCTTGACCTCTTCATTTCTTCTCCAAGCACAACCATAACCTCCACGCACCCTGTCCCCTTACTTTGTCACATTAAACACCTTTCTACTTTAAAGAAGTACCAACTTAAAAAACAAACAAAAAAACTGTGTATAATGCTTGTATACTACTCTCACTTAATAACAGCAAAATAGCAGGTCTGTGATACTGTGGGCTTTCATTGCCATAACTGGTCTGTGCTACTTTTGTAAGAGAGTACTGTGCCATCTGTCCTAGCTGTTACTGCCACTTACTGGTGAAGATATTTGTAGCTTATTTTAGGATTTAGAAATGTGTTAGATAGGATGTAGAAGTATTGTAAAGACACTGAAACTGCCCTGGATGTAATAAAGGCCTAAACGTGTCACAAAGTTAGGAGTAGACTTGTAGGAGACCCTCCCCCACCTTGAGCTGTGAAAGTAAAACAAAGAGAGATGAGTGGAAATTCTCCAGGGGATACCTGGGTGGGGGTCTCAGTATTTGTAACTGGATAACTGTGGTCTGGACGGGAGATGGACTTTTATGACCGGCAGGAAGTCCCGCACACAGAGACATATATACACATGCACACACACAGGTATGTGCACACGCAGGCAGTCACGTGCTTGCACACACATACACAAACACAGTGTTTTAGTTTTATGGCACATCATATAGGGTTTACGGTGGGTGTCGCTTCTATAAAACAGCGGGTAATGGAGATCTTGCAGAGGAATTGCCCGGTCTTGTACATCTCCCTTCTAGAAGGTGCATCAGTGATTGTGGATGAATAACAGTTTTGTGAAGTAACTACTGAGCCCTGGTGTCGTCTCTGGAGGCCTGAGGAATCCAAGGACTGGGGTGAAACTGTTTCGAGGTGACACTGGCAAAAGTCAAAATCATCATAGTGCCACATCAGGTGGTAGCGAATGAGCTCTTTTGTACGGTGGCCCTGAAGTGCAAATCACACCAACAAATTGCTAAACACAACAACAAAATTGAGAGGCCCTGAAGTGCAAATCACACCAACAAATTGCTAAACACAACAACAAAATCGAGAAACAAAAAAACAAATGGAGAATCAAAAAAACAAAACTGAGAATCACAAAAACAAAATTGAGAAGCACAAAAACAAAATTGAGAAGCACAAAAACAAAACTGAGAATCACAAAAACAAATCAAGAAGCACAAAAACAAAAGAAGAATCACAAAAACAAATCAAGAAGCACAAAAACAAAAGAAGAATCACAAAAACAAATCAAGAAGCACAAAAACAAAAGAAGAATCACAAAAACAAATTAAGAAGCACAAAAACAAAAGAAGAATCACAAAAACAAATTGAGAAGCACAATTACATTAAGAAAACCGGAAAGGGTAGGTACCAGTCGGCAACAGGAGACATCACTGATTGGATGTCCGATCTGTTCGTCTTTGGAACCGGAAGTTACTCTGCCTGTGGCGCATTTCGTTTGAAGAAGAACGGCGGAATGTTTTGTCCTAGCTGTGGGAAAAAGCTGGTTGAGGAGTCGCCGAACTTTTGCAGCGGCTGTGGCGAGAGGCTTTATCACGCATCTTGCATCGGAGACACTTCACTCCCATTGAGTAAGTTAATAAGCATAATAAAATGTTTGTTATTTATTGATTTATTAGCCTAGCGTTAGCTGTTTCCAGCCCATAGCAGACCAGAGGGCTGTTCCACTAAGCGAGCTCAGAAAATCGAGGCTCATTTGAAAATGCACGCAGCTGTCAAAATGACTGCTCAAGACCTTTCTAGTAGTGAAGGTTTGAGGGCAGTTCTAGTGTTAACAAACCTCGCAGCTAGGGTGCCACGGACCAGACTTGTCCACAAGCATATTGCATAATGAATGAGCAGAAAGACTGCAGGTTAGCCTCGTTCCTGGAACCGAATTTGGGGCAATCGAGCCTGGATTTTCAGAGTGAGCCTGGCTTTTGGGATTAGCTTGCTTCGTGGAACAGTCCTCTGAGCATTTCCACAACTGAAACGATAATAAATTAGTTCATTTATTATGTTTGGTTAACTTTAGGAACTAACCCTATTATGTGTCTATACATTAAAACTTACTGGTGTAGAATTGTATTGGTCAATAGTATCAGTTGCATTGTCATTCCTTGGTAGAAATTTTCTAGTGAGATTATTCAGTGTTGTCCTTATTTGCGTGTTGTGTGGACAATGGAATGTTACATGAATGAATGTCTTTAATGTGTGACATTGTAGTACATTTTTCCTTTGTTTCCCTTTAGCATCACAGACTACCTCAAACTGCCCGACTCCAACCTTCAGCACCTTCATAGAATACAGAAAAAAGAAAAATGAAGAGAGGCAAAAGTTTTCTGAAGGGAGGAAGGGCTTAAAGAAAAAGGAAAAAAGAAAGGTTCAGGTAGTTTGGCTAGCTCAGTCTGAAAACAAGTTGAGGTTAATTTTCTAATGACATTCTTTTGTTATTCCTTAGGGGAGTTGTGTAAAAAATGTTCAGTGTAGTAAAGCTATCCAGAATAAGAACAATTGTTTACGAGTAATTGTACATTTAGGTTGTCAGGAAGATCCCTCTTTAGCAGTTAATAAATATTCAAGTTTGAATAGATCTGCTTAGAGTCATATTAGTATCTACTTGGCCCATTGTTCATGTGTTTTTCCTTACAGATAAATGTCGGCTTGATGACCATAAAAAAGGGTGGTTTGAAGCCATACCGTGGAAAAACTATTTTCCTAACAACAGACCCTGACGCTACTGCCACAAGTCTGCTCAATCAAGCTGTTAAAAAAATGAAGGACTTTAACAAAGATCTAAAAGATGGACCTTTCCTTCTTCTGTATCCGGATGGCACTGAGGTCATTACTGTCCCTGGAACACAAAGACCATTTACACTTGAGGCTTATAAGGCTGAAGTTGGCAAGCCTTATCAAAGAATCACTGTTTTCATCTGCTTGAAGAGTGACTTTGAAGATGGTAAGCTGCTAATGTTTGTTTTGATTTTGACACACATTCCCTTAGTTTCAACAACTGCTAATTTTGAAATTGTAAAATGATAACATTACGCATAAAGCACGCAAGTCAATAGCATACCTACATTAAAATGGTGAATGGCCTGTATTTTATATAGCAACTTCTAGGGTTCTACAACCCCCCCAAGACACTTCACAACAAAACCAGTCATTCACCCATACACATTCACACACTGCTGGTGATTAGCTACAATGTGGACACAACTGTCCTGGGACTCACTGACTGAAGCAAGGCTGCTGTACACAGATGCCACCTATCCCTCCCACTACCACCACCTGGCATGGAGGGTGAAGTGTCTTGCCCAAGGACACAACGACTGTGACAGACTGAGCAGGGCTCAAACCTTCAACCTTTTGATTACAGGGCGGGCTTTTAACTCCTCTGCCACCATTGCTGCCTAAATTAGCTTGTATATGTTATGTTTCTTCCTGGAAACATGAAATTCAGCCATTTCTGGATCTACTGAGTCATGATTTTTAAATGCTAACTTTATGCCTTTCGTATTAATCTATTATTCATGATCAAATAAAGTTTCATACATTAGTATGAATTTAGTTTGCTTAGCTTGATTTGTTTTCATGTTTTGTAGTTGGAGAAAACTCAGACTTGTCTGACTCTGACCCCGAGATTGTTATTAAAAGGCCCTCTGAGTTTGATCTTGCTGATACACTGGTAAGTACAATTTAAATTTTTTTATAGAGTTTTCTTGTTGTTTAGCCACCACCATTTGCCTCAGTTCAGTAAAACAGTTAATAGTTATATGTGAAATACATTTTGTGTGTGTGTGCGTGCGTGCGTGCTCGCTCGCGTGCGTGCGTGTGTTTGTTTGTTTGTTTCAGCCATGGGAACTTCAACATGAAAGCAGTCCTTTACAGAAAGCGGCAGAATATGAGTAAGTGATATTTTAAGAACATGTAATCTTTTACTGTTTTTGCCTAAACTTTTGTATTAATGAGATATACACTTCTGTCAAGGTTAAAGGTTCAAGGTTCTTTATTTGTCACATGCATAGTTATACAAGTATAACACACAGTCATTCATTCTGTATATGGTTTTTGGAACATGGACTACATAATACTTGTATTTGTCATGGTCCTGGGCCATGTTGGCCCAGTGTTCTTAGTTTCCTTGTATGTTTGTATTTTATTCCATGCTTCCCCTGCCCATTATGTCTAAGTTCTCCCCGTGCTCTCTCTCTTCCCCCTGTGTGCCCTCTATGTATTTATGAGCCCTCGTCCCCTTTCGTGTTTATTCCATGTCTCCCCTGCCTGTTACGTTGGTGTTCTACTCGTGCTCTCTCTCCTCCTGTACTTCCTGTTTCACCTCTCCCGTCAGTGTTCAGTTCACCCCGCCCTGTCTCGTTATGATTATCAGTGTCACCTGTGTTCCCCGTGTGTTCCCACTTCCCTCGTTAACCCTCTGTGTATTTCTGTCTGCGTCTCCCTCTGTTCAGCGTGATGTCGTCCCTCATGCCGTGTGTGGATCTCCCTGTGTCTCTCTATGAGTTCTTAGTTTGGTTTCCCAGTTTAGTTTAGGTTGTATATTTGTTCTGCCAGCGAATAAAGCTGAGTTTTGAGTTCATCCCCTCGTGCCTGTGAGTCCTGCATTTTGGGTCCTACTCCTGCCTGCCGCACGGCGATTCATGACAGTATTGCTTGTTTGTTAATCAAGATGCTTAAATATTTTCAAAGTGTCAATTAATATTTTCACAGTACACAACAATAATGCTTTTCTTTGTTCTCTAAGGAAGGGTGCTGGGGATCTTGTGCTTGCTAATGAAGTACAACAGGTAAAAAAACTATTTTATTAGTAAAACAGTGCAGCAGACAATCTCCACAGCCTTTACTTTGCAATTAGATGACGATTCACTGTTTGCTTATTACATTCATTGTTATTATACAATGCATTTCACATCATCAATTTTCATACTATCAATAGATTATAACATCCACCCCTTAAAAGTACACTAAGTGAAATAATCACAAAGCAGTCTAATGTCTCAATCATGTTGGAAGGAAGGTTACATTGAAACTAACTGTGTATGACTCGTCTTTGTCATCTAGAATCTTCTGGCGCTGATCCGTACCCATGAAACTCATGGAACGGGAGGAGGGAGAGTCACTCGTTTGTTTATAAAGATAGACTGTAGTACACAAATTTGACCACAGGATTTCTTATTTCATTCTTACTTACTGTACCTTTAGATAATCTATTGGGATAGGAAACCTAAGGTACATCCATCTACTTCCAGACCATGGGTCCCATACTGCTAAAAAAATAGGAGTCTATGAGCCAATAAAAATTATTTTCTGATCCCGTTTGATGTGTATAATGAATTTAAAATATGATGTCCGTGAAGTATATAAACACATTTTGATGCCAAAAAGTGCTTAAGCGACAGGTGGCAAAGGTTATTTTATGTTTTGTTTGAAAAGACGTGGCGAAATGTAAATGTTCGTCTCACAAAATTGACATCATCGAACCAGACACAGAGAAGAGGAAAAGCTTAGTTTTGTTTAGCGAGCTTCGAATCCTTCTTCCAGGATGATGTGGAGAAAACCACTATAAATCTGGCCATGTGATAATTAGCAGCTACGCTGGGGGAGAAAAGCTTCTGAGGCGACATCATATTTGCGACATCTGACTTGTAGTCATTTTAAGGACAAATTTTTACAAGCTAACAAATCTCAAATTACATTACAGACATAGTCGAAACACAATTATTTATTATTTAAATTGAAGTACAACATATGTGTGATTCAGAGAGTAAGGCAAAGCAGACCAGAAAATAACTTTTATAGCTCCATTCACTTCCATTCATTTTTCTTTTGTTCAGGGACCCACGAGCAGACCAGAAGGGGAGGAGACTTAGGCTCCCTATATTAAAATAATTAATAATAAACTTGATGAACATGTCGTAGTTGTCAGAGTATGTGCTGCGTCGAAATCCTCTAACAGCTCCATCCCATACAGCTGACCTTGATATATTGAACCTGCTGACCTTCTTGTGGTCAAGTTCCAGTGCCAAATTTGCAATAATTTCATGTGCCTCCAAATTGGTGTCTCTAAAAAAAAAAAAAGGGAAACTTATTTTTTAAAGGTGTATATACTTCTCTCATGATTGCATGATGTCTTAGTCTATTAAACTCCACCGAGACAGCTGGTAATGCAAATCTGAAGGCTAGACCGTCCCATTTCACAGCCTCGCACTTCCGGCCTTCTCGGTCTTCGAAGGAGCCGGCCCACGCAGACCACGAAGGCCGGGTCTCCCGAAGTGTGCGGCCTATGAATTGGGACATAGCTTTTGTGTGTGTGAGTAAGAGAGATAGTGAGAATGTAAAATATTATCTGTTAATGATATAGTTGACATGATGTTGCATACTCTATGCTATTAATTTTAAAACTGAAGTGCTGCTAATTGAACAGTATGTGCTGTAATGCATTAATACAATGTACCAGAATAGAACAGAATGGAATAATACAGTGAACAGGAGCAATGAGAAGTATGCAATGTAATGATGAGCACTCCTAAAGATCTGCAGAAAGGTTCACAGAATCATTTTCCCACTGAATCGACAGGGTAACTCAAAGCCATCAGGTACCATTCTGAGCAGTAGAGGGCAGCGCAGACTGTCTATTGACATCATGTATAGATGCTGCGCAATGGAAGTATTATCTTTCCTATGTATTGAGATAAAAATAATGGAGTCAAACTAACTTACAACAACCTAGAAATTTGTATAGAATGTTCTTCCCACAAACAAAGCTTCAGGTATTTCATTGGTGACTTTTATGTTGCAACAAGTCTTTAGTAGACTATAGCATAATGGTAAATGGCCTGTATTTGTATAGCACTTTACTTAGACCCTAAGGACCCCAAAGCGCTTTACACTACATTCAGTCATCCACCCATTGACACACCGGTCATGGCAAGCTACATTGTAGCCAGGGACCCAATACCACTGACGAATGTTCTGTAAATATTTATTTCAAATTATTTGGACCATGTAAGTGTATTAGTTGACATCAAAGTGAGCCTTTAAATTGCCTAACAACAAACAATTCAAACAAGGCAATTTATTTCACATCCAGTGAATCATTTTAAAAACCCCAAGACCGGTTTGAGGCAGATGGCCACCCCTCACTGAGCCTGGTTCTGCCAGAGGTTTCTCTCTCACTCATTCACACACCGGTCATGGCAAGCTACATTGTAGCCACAGCTGCCCGGGGCTCACTGACAGAGGCGTGGCTGCTGGACACTGGCGCCACCGGGCCCTCTGACCACCACCAGTAGGCAACGGGTGAAGTGTCTTGCCCAAGGACACAACGGCCGAGACTGTCTGAGCCGGGGCTCGAACTGGATTACAAGACAAACTGCCAACTCTTGAGCCATGTTCACCCCGATAATAAGAAAAGTCTACAGCTTGTTGAATATTTTATTTATTTTTGTGTAAACATCAAATGTATGTCATGTCTATCATATCTATCAGTCACACAGATGGATAGATCACAGGGGGCTGTGGGTGATGAATTAATTATAAACATTTTTGCTTCTCTATTGAGGCATGCAAATAATCAACTGTAAATGAGTTTATAAATATATTAGACAAAAATACTCTTACACAGTAAATGTGTTTGGGACATCTTTAAACAGGTATTCTGTATTTAAACATTTACATATATCATATATTGATCAATGGTCATGACAATTTGCATTTTAATGACAAGGAAACTGACCTCACAGCCCATTTTTCTTCAGTGGTGTTAGTTCCAGTCATTATGCAAACCCGCTGTTTATAGAGTTGAGGAAACCTTTTCTGTCACTTGGATGAGTGACGAAACGTTTCTCCCACTGAAAACGCTACGTCCAGATGAACAGAATCAACTTTTCGGGATTAGTAAGAAAAAGTAAATCAATTTAGTAATTACAACCAGGTGACTTTTGTAATCTAAGATATTTGTTGCTTAAAGATTGGAGATTGGAATGTTGCTGGAAATGTTATTAATAATATGTAGCTGTGTAAGTTACATTAAGTATAGCAGAGATGAATTTGATATTAAGCTGATGATGCTTAGATTCATTGACTGAATTCCACCTCCATACTATCTAGTAAAAAGACAGCATAAAGAGTGTACTGTCAGTGTAGAGGATGGAACAGGACAACTCATGAAACATCTGCTTACATTTTGTTACCTTCAGTTGTGTAACTCCACAAACAGCAGTAAACCTCGGAGCAGCAGCAGCCAAGATCAGGTGATCAAAAATAAATAAATCAATCAATCAAATCAATTGAAATTGTGACACTAAACTGATTTTGGATTTTGGAAAAGAAATGATGAAACAGTATTTATAATATGATGGAAAGGTGACTTTGTCATGCTCACACGATCGAAATGAAACTAGATTAGACATCAAGAGGGAAAATACAATTAAATAAAATATATAAAACACAGATTTGTGCTAACCGTAGGTAAATAAAGGCTAATTCAAATGAAGTTGGCAAAGTAAACTACTTCAGTAGCAAACAAAATGTAGTCTGTCCTCACAGTCACGAGCCTTCCAAGCACCCTTATTGGCTCCTGTCACCTGTAGGGCTCCACACTTCATATTGGGTTGTGGACACATTGGTTTTCCCCCTTGACCCCAGGCCTCGTAGTCCATCTCCTGCCCATCCACCCAGAGCCAGTCCCCAGGCAGAAACGCAAGCCAATCCAGACGATTTCAGTGGTGTTAAGTGTGTTCAGCTCTTTCTGGATCAGCAGCTTCTCGGTCTCAGATGCCACACTGGCCAGGTCCTTGTAGCGCTCTCTGCAGTACTCCAAGGCTTCTCCAAGTCTTTTCCTCCATCACCACTTCTGCACTGTAGCAGAAGAAGGTTGTTTGATACAATAGGGTTGCATCGTACCACTTGCTTTCCTGCATACAGCCACGATCTTCATTACCCTGACAGTTGTTAGGTTGATTTTCCGCCCAGAAATTCCTGGACACCACTTCACCTCCTGACCATCTCCAGTTCTCATTACCTGGCAAATTTCTCACCAGTCCTATCCAGATATGGTGAGTGACATTTCCGGAGAGCTGCTTTAGTTTGTTGACATCCTTCTCAGTACTTACAGGGGCCAGGTCTGTGTAGTTCTGCCGACAGTAACTCTGAGCTTCAAGCCAATCCATTTTCTGGTCAACATAAATGTACTTGGTAAGCGTTCCAGACAAATTCAGCAAGAGCAGGATGAAGGTGAAGAGTTGATCCATTGTTGTCTTCTTTAGAAGAATCTTTCATAGCAATGAGGAGCCAAAGACGTTTGTAAGATATATGCTGGAGATGTGAGCATGTCATAAAGTATTTGCATAACAGGACATCCCTTTTATTCTAAGAACCTATTTGCTTTCAGCAGTAGGGACACAGACTTCTGACTTATACTTGTTCAAGCAGCTCATGTATTTATTAGTCATTGTAAAATGAAACTGGACTAAGGTGGATTTTTAAAGTACAAAACAATTTAAATGAAACTTTCATCTCATAAATTAAATTAAAGTTTTTGAATCTGGTTAAATCTTTTATTTTAACTTCAACTAATTAAACTACTTCTAGAGGTACACATATTTTCTCCTCCCATTTACGTATAATTATCTCAAAAGTGTACAAAGTTGTAAATATAAAACATTCATAATAGCGTGAAAGTTCTACTTACTTTACTACTACATATTATAGCATCTTGTCAAATCCATGAAAGTGAAAGCTTGTTTAAATATAAGCAATTTAATTCGAGTTCAAATTAGTTACTGTTAAATGTATTCAGCTATAGTTAAAGAAAGAGATTCTAGGTCAGGTTATTTACTTTATTTCATATTAACTGAGCCTAACCATAAGAATGAGTGACTCAGTTTATTTCATGATCATTGTACTTAAACACACTAATGAGAACCAAGGAGATTACTTTGGGAAATAGTTTTCTTTCAGGGATCCCCAAAAACACTGAAAATATACTGTGCACAGCCAAGCCACAAGCCACAAACCACACCCAACCACAACACATACACAAGATGAAAAAAACCACAAGGTTATCGGGACAAGTTAAACAAATTTTTATTTTCCATAAGGCAAAAATGAAATGTTGCTTGGTTCACATCAGACAAGAAAATCATAATATTCAGGAAGAAGGCAAAGTCATTTTTCATACCACTGCGTCAGCCCCCTTGGAAAACAAATGAAGAGGTCAAGAAAGCAAATTCAAAGAGGAATGAATAAATATGTAATACAAATGGTTTATTTGTTTGTTTTTCTGAACTGCTTTTTGTTCTGCTTTCAACATTTTTGCTTTAATTCTGTATATTGCATCTTTGTCTTTTTATATGTAGAAGTGGCCAGTGGTCTCATTATACTGTAAACGTCAAATGTTTTCACCCATTAAATACTTTTTGAGGATAGTGAAGATTACATCGCAGAGTTTGTATCTAGGGGTCCAAATGATTGGACTCTGAATGGTACTCATGGCCATTGATTATTGTCATTGATCAATGATCATTGGTCACTGATGAATGGTCTTTAATCGGTGGTCTTGAAAATTTGCATATTAATGCTCAAGAAGCTTGCCTCACACCCCATTGTTCAGCAGTGGTGCTGGTTTCAGTGATTATGCAAATGCATTGTTTATAAGGTTGGGGAAACCTGCATTTAGCTGAGACTGAAGAAGTCACTTGGATGAGTGATGAAATGGTTCTCCCACTGAAAACATTATGTCCAGTAGTGATGGGAATTCCGGCTCTTTTTAGAGAACTGTACGGTGGCCCTGAGAGGCCAAACAGACTGCAACTTCAGACAACACCTGCAAAAAGAAAAACGCTGGAAAACACACAAAACACAACAGAAATAGGAAAAAACACAATGGAAATTTTTCTGGGGAGACAACCCGACGGACCAGTTGCACGAACCAAAACATGCTAACAAGTGCGCTGGGACTGGGAGACACTTCAAAAAAGTGGAGGAGAGGTAAATGTGTTGTAATTATAGGATTCCAATAATACTACAGATATCTGGAATATAAATACATGTTTTAGTTCATGCAAGTGGTGTGTATTTGTGAGCATTTAAACACTGCAGAGAGTACAATTAACAGTATTTTGTCTAAGTCCCCCATTGTAGAAATTCATTTCACCGAAACAATAACGTGGTGCACAGTGTGACATTAAAAAAGCGCACACCTTTGACGCTGCGTTTTCTCCGTTTTCCTCGTCCACACGTAAATGCAAAAACTGAGTTTTCGAAAATATCCACCCTGGCAGGCGTTTTTTAAAAATCTCAGTTTCAGTGACCGAAAACGCCGTTTACGTGTGGACAAAGGTGCAAACGCATAGAAAAATCTCAGTTTTTAAAAATACCCGGGTACGTGTGGACGTAGCCTTAGAGCCTGAGTACCTGGCCTTCTTTCAGGTACTAGGTGGCGCGCAGGAGAGTATTCAACACGAGAGGACTTCAATGCTCACCTGGGCAATGACCGTATGACCTAGAGGGATGTGACTGCCAGGAACGACCTGCCCAATCTGAACCCAAATGGTGGTGACAGGTTAATCAGATTTTGAAGTTGCTTTAGGCACTTTGTGATCAACAAACAAATTATATTTTGTTTCAGAAGGCAAAGTAGTTTTTCATAGTAACTAATTAAAACCATTAACCTAAATACTGAGAACAGACTTTACATCGTTTTCAGACCCCTGTGGTCTTTCGCTACTCAGGTTAAACATGATATACAAGTCACTTAGATAACTTAAAAATATAATTGTTTGGCTTTTTTCAGCGTTTTATTTCTTTCTAAGTAAATCGCTTTGGCTGAGATTAAAGTTATAGTTTTCACATCTGAATAAACGTCAAACAGAAAACTGGTTAAACAGAAGTGTGAGGTTGTCGAGAATTTACTCCAGTGTCGTGTTATTTATTAGCGAGAAAGGAGCAGATGACTTAGTCTATTAAACTCCACCGAGACAGCTGGTAATGCAAATCTGAAGGCTAGACCGTCCCATTTCAGCCTCGCACTTCCGGCCTTCTCGGTCTTCGAAGGAGCCGGCCACGCAGACCACGAAGGCCGGGTCTCCCGAAGTGTGCGGCCTATGAATTGGGACATAGCTTTTGTGTGTGTGAGTAAGAGAGATAGTGAGATGTAAAATATTATCTGTTAATAGATATAGTTGACATGATGTTGCATACTCTATGCTATTAATTTTAAAACTGAAGTGCTGCTAATTGAACAGTATGTGCTGTAATGCATTAATACAATGTACCAGAATAGAACAGAATGGAATAATACAGTGAACAGGAGCAATGAGAAGTATGCAATGTAATGATGAGCACTCCTAAAGATCTGCAGAAAGGTTCACAGAATCATTTTCCCACTGAATCGACAGGGTAACTCAAAGCCATCAGGTACCATTCTGAGCAGTAGAGGGCAGCGCAGACTGTCTATTGACATCATGTATAGATGCTGCGCAATGGAAGTATTATCTTTCCTATGTATTGAGATAAAAATAATGGAGTCAAACTAACTTACAACAACCTAGAAATTTGTATAGAATGTTCTTCCCACAAACAAAGCTTCAGGTTTCATTGGTGACTTTTATGTTGGCAACAAGTCTTTAGTAGACTATAGCATAATGGTAAATGGCTGTATTTGTATAGCTTTACTTAGGCCCTAAGGACCCCAAAGCGCTTTACACTACATTCAGTCATCCACCATTGACACACGGTCATGGCAAGCTACATTGTAGCCGGACCCAATCACTGACGAATGTTCTGTAAATATTTATTTCAAATTATTTGGACATGTAGTGTATTAGTTGACATCAAGTGAGCCTTTAAATTGCCTAACAACCAAACATTCAAACAAGGCAATTTATTCACATCCAGTGAATCATTTTAAAAACCCCAGACGGTTTGAGGCAGATGGCCACCCCTCACTGAGCCTGGTTCTGCCAGAGGTTTCTCTCTCACTCATTCACACACCGGTCATGGCAAGCTACATTGTAGCCACAGCTGCCCGGGGCTCACTGACAGAGGCGTGGCTGCTGGACACTGGCGCCACCGGGCCCTCTGACCACCACCAGTAGGCAACGGGTGAAGTGTCTTGCCCAAGGACACAACGGCCGAGACTGTCTGAGCCGGGGCTCGAACTGGATTACAAGACAAACTGCCAACTCTTGAGCCATGTTCACCCCGATAATAAGAAAAGTCTACAGCTTGTTGAATATTTTATTTATTTTTGTGTAAACATCAAATGTATGTCATGTCTATCATATCTATCAGTCACACAGATGGATAGATCACAGGGGGCTGTGGGTGATGAATTAATTATAAACATTTTTGCTTCTCTATTGAGGCATGCAAATAATCAACTGTAAATGAGTTTATAAATATATTAGACAAAAATACTCTTACACAGTAAATGTGTTTGGGACATCTTTAAACAGGTATTCTGTATTTAAACATTTACATATATCATATATTGATCAATGGTCATGACAATTTGCATTTTAATGACAAGGAAACTGACCTCACAGCCCATTTTTCTTCAGTGGTGTTAGTTCCGTCTTATGCAAACCCGCTGTTTATAGAGTTGAGGAAACCTTTTCTGTCACTTGGATGAGTGACGAAACGTTTCTCCCACTGAAAACGCTACGTCCAGATGAACAGAATCAACTTTTCGGGATTAGTAAGAAAAAGTAAATCAATTTAGTAATTACAACCAGGTGACTTTTGTAATCTAAGATATTTGTTGCTTAAAGATTGGAGATTGGAATGTTGCTGGAAATGTTATTAATAATATGTAGCTGTGTAAGTTACATTAAGTATAGCAGAGATGAATTTGATATTAAGCTGATGATGCTTAGATTCATTGACTGAATTCCACCTCCATACTATCTAGTAAAAAGACAGCATAAAGAGTGTACTGTCAGTGTAGAGGATGGAACAGGACAACTCATGAAACATCTGCTTACATTTTGTTACCTTCAGTTGTGTAACTCCACAAACAGCAGTAAACCTCGGAGCAGCAGCAGCCAAGATCAGGTGATCAAAAATAAATCAATCAATCAATCAAATCAATTGAAATTGTGACACTAAACTGATTTTGGATTTTGGAAAAGAAATGATGAAACAGTATTTATAATATGATGGAAAGGTGACTTTGTCATGCTCACACGATCGAAATGAAACTAGATTTAGACATCAAGAGGGAAAATACAATTAAATAAAATATATAAAACACAGATTTGTGCTAACCGTAGGTAAATAAAGGCTAATTCAAATGAAGTTGGCAAAGTAAACTACTTTAGTAGCAAACAAAATGTAGTCTGTCCTCACAGTCACCAGCCTTCCAAGCACCCTTATTGGCTCCTGTCACCTGTAGGGCTCCACACTTCATATTGGGTTGTGGACACATTGGTTTTCCCCCTTGACCCCAGGCCTCGTAGTCCATCTCCTGCCCATCCACCCAGAGCCAGTCCCCAGGCAGGAAACGCAAGCCAATCCAGACGATTTCAGTGGTGTTAAGTGTGTTCAGCTCTTTCTGGATCAGCAGCTTCTCGGTCTCAGATGCCACACTGGCCAGGTCCTTGTAGCGCTCTCTGCAGTACTCCAAGGCTTCCTCCCAAGTCTTTTCCTCCATCACCACTTCTGCACTGTAGCAGAAGAAGGTTGTTTGATACAATAGGGTTGCATCGTACCACTTGCTTTCCTGCATACAGCCACGATCTTCATTACCCTGACAGTTGTTAGGTTGATTTTCCGCCCAGAAATTCCTGGACACCACTTCACCTCCTGACCATCTCCAGTTCTCATTACCTGGCAAATTTCTCACCAGTCCTATCCAGATATGGTGAGTGACATTTCCGGAGAGCTGCTTTAGTTTGTTGACATCCTTCTCAGTACTTACAGGGGCCAGGTCTGTGTAGTTCTGCTGACAGTACTTCTGAGCTTCAAGCCAATCCATTTTCTGGTCAACATAAATGTACTTGGTAAGCGTTCCAGACAATTCGCAGAGCAGGATGAAGGTGAAGAGTTGATCCATTGTTGTCTTCTTTAGAAGAATCTTTCATAGCAATGAGGAGCCAAAGACGTTTGTAAAATATATGCTGGATTTGTCAACTTTGCCATTCAAAAATATTTGCATATCAGGATGGCCCTTTTATTCTGAGAACTCGTTTGTTCTCAGCAGCAGAGACACGCACCTACTGCTCACATGTACTTCTTCAAGTAGCTGATTTATCAATTTATTAATCACCATAAACTAAACAGTGCAATAAAAGTTGGACGAAATCTTCAGCTCAAATGTCCTATGATGGCTCCTGAGTCGTTGAGCCAGTGCTTTGAGTTTATTCTCTTATGTTTTCAGTCCAGAGTTTTTGTATTAATATCCAGTGGTTCTTTTAAATTATGTTTTGGATAATTTTTGGATTTCTTTGTTATTATTTAGTCATTGAGCTTCAGTTACTGTCTGTTTTATATTTGTATTCTGCTTTGGGTTTTTAGTTTTTTTCTCTTCCTGCTTTCCTCAGCCTCCTTCTGTGTTTGCTGTATCCAGTTAAGTTTCCCTCTGAGTAGTTGTTATGTTTTGTCACTTCTTGTGTTATTTTGCATCATCTCATGTATTTTGTGTTCAGTTTGGCTTCTTCTTGCAGTGTTCTTTCGTCCTAAATACCCCATATAAACATTTAAACACTCAGTTTCCTTCTGTTCCTTGCCCTGCTCTCTCACACTGTATGCTCCTTGTTTTTTCTTTAATCCCTCAGTTTTGCATCTCTGGCTGTGTCTTAGCTTTGCTTGTATTTTTACATGAGCTTCAGCAATAAAGCTGTCATTTGAGTTCACCACTTGTCTTCAGAGTACTGCATAGCGAGTCCTAAATCTGCCTCCTGTAGCATATTTTGTTTCATTTGGAGCTTCAAAAAAAAAAAATCGGTTAGTGATAGAAAGATATAAGGCAGTTGAATGTGAGGCAGCTAAATGTTAAGGTTGAAGAAAAAGATTGTAGGTCAATTTATTTAGTTTATTTAACATTAATTGGGCCTAATCACAAATATGAGGTTCACAGGGGGTTATTTATTAGTTTTCTTGATGGATGCCAGATTTAAAACACTTTGAACCTTTACATAAGCTGAAAGAAAGACCAAGGTTGTTTGAACAAGGTAAACAAATTTTTAATTTGCAAAAGGCAAAACTGAAGTGTTGCTGGCTTCGCACAAACAAATTAGTTTTCAGGAAGAAGTCGAAGTCATTTCTCATATTATCACGTCATCCTACTTGAAAAATAAATGAAAAGGTTTAGAAGAGAAATTGTACGATGACTGAAAAAAAATCTTAAATTGTATGAGAGGGATAAGAATGTGTTTTACTTTGTTTTGTTGGGTTTTTTTGTCTTTTTATTCCTAATTCTTTCTTTAATTCTCCTACTGCTACTCTGCCTGTTAATACCTTGAATTAGCATATAGCACGACAGGCTGCTGGAGCGTCCCAGCACAGACAGACTATCTTTCAATATTTTTCACTGTATGCTGTGACTTTGTAGCTGTTCCCATTGTAACAGCTGCTCACCGTACTGCTTCTCCCTGATCCCAGCACACTATTACATAAATAGGAGAAGCAGAATTATAACATTCACATCAGCCAGCCTCTCCTGGTACTTTCCACTGTACCCTCAAGCCCTCCTCTCTCTGCAGCTTACCCATGATCATACCACACCTTACTGCCACATGGCATTTGTTCATTTTTGTATTTTGGCATGGCTTGTACTGCCCTTATTGTGTAGTTTTGTGTAAACCTCATATCATAAAAAACTTCAAAGTTCTTCCTCCAGACATTTCCAAGACTCCTTGTTTGCATCTGAAGTCCTTTGCATTGGAAGTTGAATCTTTGTCAGTAGAGTGATCTTTGCAGCTTGTAAACATCAAATATTCTTAGATGCATTTCATGCAGGATTTCTTAATGATATTTGAAACTCTTTAAACACAATTTGCATTATTTTGACATCCTTGAAGGAACTTAATTGCAGTTGTAGTTAAAAGCATCAAAACTGTTATTCAAGTAAAGTAGTTTTGATGCTTTTAAAGTCCAGTGCAGCACATTAGTTTGTTATTTCATGACTGAGCAGCACATGGCTTTTAGTTTTTGTTTCTGGTGCCCTTTATTTCACAGAGTTGCATATAGTTGTGTTTGTGGTTGATGTTTTGCACTTGTGAAATTATTACAGATTTATTTACATTAAGGTAAAGTCTAAGTTAAATGTGTAAGGTCTTCAGCTAAGGTTGTGATGAGGTTGAACCTAATCCCACAAGATATAAAAAGAATTTGAAAAAAATATGCACGAGCTGACAAAAATCCAAAGTTTATCATGACAAGGTAAACACCATTTTTAATTGGTGTAGCTGGGTACAAATCAAACAAAACAAACAAAGTGCAGAGGTCAAGAGAAGAAATTGAAGGGTATGAAATATGAAAATATGAAAAATATGTCTTTATATGGTGTGTGAGAGGGATACAATTGATATTTTTTACATTTTTTTCTCAATTGCAGTTTTATTTTCCCTTCACCATTCTTACTTTCATTCTTCACAAGTCTGTTTTCTTCATCTTATCTTCTGCTTATTTGGGTAGAATTACATTGCAAATCTAGAAACGTGTTCAATACATTTTCAGATAGTATTTGTGTCCGTTCGTATTCATGCTTGCCTCAAACCTCAAACTATAAATCCAAAAATATAAATTGTCCATGATAGCTAAGAGACGTTGTAACAGTGGGCTCGTCACATTTACAAAGCAAGTCTGAAGCATAGACACTGAACTGCTACCTGACACAGTCTGTTATGTTCTCCACTCTGTGACTAGTAAAATCCAGACACAGCATCCCCATCCCCCTCTTCCTTGTTTCTGGTGACTTCAATCATGCCTCTCTGGACCCAATGTTACCATCATTTACCCAGTATGTTACGTACCTCACCAGAAGCGGCCATGTGGGAATTACTTTGTGATGACGGTGAAGACATTGGTGGTCTGGTGGATTAGCTACAGTCCATACCAACCAGGATTGTATGGTGTTTCATAAGCAATAAACTAAGGATCCCTCCTGACATCGAGGCTGTGTTCATGAAACGTGATTTAAAAATGTTTAGATTAAGTAAGTTGAGCTCTTGGAATGTTTTAATCCTTCACAATTTTGTCATTTTATTCCAATCCTATTCAATAACCTTTACCCCACTACTACTCTTAAATACTACAAGTTGTCTTCATATTACATAATGTTCAACAAAGTCTAGAGTCTGGTTAAAGTAAAAAATGGAATGGATTTACAACAACTGCCGTCCTCCTATCTTTATCCGGGTTGCAGGATTAAAATTCTGGAAAATCATTAGTCTTCATTTGATTTGCCAAATGTTGGTCATAATACAAAATTATGTGGGGCTCTTGTCAGTAGGGGCATACAAAGTGATTAGGTTACAATGAATAACTAAATACTAAATGGTATCTCAGTACAGTAACGATAACTCCTGTCTCTGGATATAAATTAAGAGCATGAAACAGTTAAAAAAATAATCATGTGCAGGCGATCAAGGAAGCCAGCTGCTGTAATAAGATAACAGTAGATCTGTTATATACACATGAAAATGAAAGAAGCAAGACTGGACTGAACAAGTGTTCAGTGAAGTTGAGTTTAGGAATGAAGGCAGGGAAATCCACCTGCTAGCTCACCAATTCCAGAGGTAATCTCTGATAAACAATCTCTCTTTGGATGATGCAAATTCGGAGATGGCACCAGGGCTCACTACAAATAATGTTGCATTTGTTTTTATGGAACATATGCTTGAAGTCACCCTATGGCATAGGTCCTATCCTAATCAGTCAAACATGGCATAATTAGAGAAGAAACCAACTGACCACTGCAGCAGGATCAATGCTCACAGTTGCTGCAAAGTAGGCACCAGTCAAGTATCTGATTGTTAGCGCCTGGAGTACCAGAAGCTCAAAACAAGAGTCAACAGCAGAATAAGCTGTTTGGCACTGGCAGAGAAGAATTGGCAGGTTTGTTCATGAGTGCAACCCACAAATGCATTTTCCTTTCAAAAGTGGTTTAAGGGGAACTAAGCAGGCTTTCCGATAGTATAAGATTTACTGCAAGAAACAATGTTACCATAAAGAAATAATCAACCAAACACAAATTTCCCTACTATTCGGGCAATGTTTATGTTTAAAACATGTACTTATGCTGTAATATCTGTGTGCGGTATATGTAGAAGCTGGTCCTGGTCCCTTGGTCTTTAACTCTTTGTTTTGAGTTTTGTGGGTTTGTGTTTTTTTGTGTGTGTTTTGAGAAGTGGTTTATGTTTAGTTTCTTTTAATGTTTTGTGAGAATTTCTGATCCCTGTTTTGGTCAATATTTTATTCTTTGTGACTCCAGTTTAGTTGCAGATGACTTAAAGTTTTTAGATCCTTTCCTATTACATTCGTCTCCTCTTGTTTTGTCCTTTGATGTTTTCCATGTGAAAACAGTGTTCTTCTCGGGATCCTGGCTCTCTCGACCCAGTGTTTTGAGTTTTCTTGTGTCTTTGTGATTTTGTGTTGTGGATTTATGTTCAAAGTTCACTTTGTTAGTTATAGTTCGTCCTACAGTGTTTAGTGTTCTAGTTTAGGTTTCCTGTATTCTCTGTTTAGTTCGCTGAATATTTAATAGGTTTCCCTCATATATTTGCCCTCTGTGTCTCCCTCTGTGTGTCTGTGTTCATGTTGTGATGTTAGTTCTGGTGCCATGTTCCCACTCCTTGTGTTCTGTGTTTTCCTCATCCCGTCATGTGCTCCTCCATCTCCTCTTTCTCCCTCCACTCTGTGTCTGTGTACTTCCTGTTTTACTTTGAAGGTCTGTGTCTCATGTTAATGTATTTTGCTTTGCTTCCTTGTCTCCTTTGCTCCTGTGAGTATATAAGTCTTGCGTTTTCTCCTGTTTTTGTGCTGGCTTGTCTGTGTCTCTCTTTCTCTGTCTCCCTATGGATTCAGGTTTCAGCTAAGTTTCATTAGTTTCTG